AAAAAGGCGCTAGCAGTAGATCTAGACGTTTTAGGAAGCTGTATTTAAGAGTGAATTCATGGGTTGAAAAAGTTCAAGTAGTGGCCTTTGCTGCTAGCTAGAGCATTTGCCTATGCATGCTATTATATTTAGTTGATTTTTATGCCTATATAGGCATAGCTTATATAGGCAGCCAGGGCGGTCTAGGTGGTTGGAAGTGATTTGGACCCTAATTTAGCTAGTCTGTCTGCCTCTTTATTTCTATTAATATCTTGGTGTCCGGGGACCCACTCTATTACTAGCGTGGATCCGTTTTAGGCTATTTTGGTGGCGGCTGTAATAGCATGTAACTAGTAAATTTGGCCCGGATTATTAGAAGGCTGCGCTAGCCTATAAATGGCTGCTTGGTTATCTGCGTATATCCGAATGTCCCTATTTAGGCCTAGTCTCGTCGCATCTTTAAATGCTAGGGTAATGCCTTCTAGCTCTCTATTATAGACGATTTAGTGCAGTCCTATATTTCGGGCTAGTTGTATAAAAGGGCGACTAGCGCATTTGTAGCCTGCTAGTCCTACTCCAATTCTAGTGCTTTTAGGCATTTACAACCCGTCTAAGTAGTATAACACCTGATTTAGCAATTATAACTATATTTGCTAGTGGTATATCGTAGCAGTTTCCTCTTTTAGCAATTTAGCGATTTATGTGTCCTAGGGGATAGAGCAGTCCTAAGGGGCAAAGTGGAAGTGGTATATAGGTTTAATTTTACTGCTAAGTAGAGGTGCAATAGTCCTAGCAATTATCTAAAGTCTATATTCTAAGTAGCTGGATTTAGTAATTTAGCGATTCACTAGATGGTCTAGACTTAGCTTAGCTAGCTAAAAAGCGTATTTGCATGTAGCTATATCTAGCTGTATTACAGGCGCTGGGAGGCTAGCTTCCACCTCTATGGCCTGAATTAGACTAGTCTGAAAAGTGCCTAGGATTTTGCGTAGTACTAAATTTTAGAGGTGCTATAGGTAGTCTTTTATATATGCTTAGCCTTACTACTAAATTAGTGATATATAGTTAGATATGCTAGTAATATAAGCTAGGTATAGCTATCTAAAAGCGGTAGGACTAAGCCCTTATTTGCTATTAGCTAGCCTGGATATATATCTAAATATAGACTTAGCCTTAGCAGTGCAGATAGTAATATGCTCCTTAAATTATAATAGAGCATTAAAGTAAATACTAAGCCACTTAACTATCTGCTTTAGGAGGACTATAGTCCCATCTAGGAGTATAAGAGACGCTAGCTTAGCGTGTTCGCCTATGCTAAAGTAAATTAGTTTAAACTTTTTTAGGTTAAATTAGATTACGTTTTTACTAGCTAGCTAAAAAAGCTCTTTAGCTACTAGCTATAGTATCTTAACGTTTTTATAAGGGCTAGTTAATATAAAAGAGAGAGTAATATTATCTATATAAGAGATAAATTTAACTATATATAACCTAAATAGGCCTTATATATAGATTAAGAAAAGGATAGGCGAAATAGGGCTTCCTTATAGGATTCCAGTCTAAATAGGCTGGTTTTTATCTAATTATCCGTTAAATAGAAGCTTAAGTAACCGCCTGCTTATAAAGGATAAGACTTACTTAATAACTAAATCAGGAAAGGCTAAATCCTTAAGAATTATAAGTAGCTGGTTCTTAGACATATAGTTATATGCCCCTTTTATATCTAGTAAAAGCGTACTAGTGATTTTATTTTATAGCTGATTTATATAGATATAATCCGCTAGCATAGCGCCTGCATCTATAGCTAACTTTTTAAGTCAGCCACCGATTTAGCTAGGATGCAGCAGATTTAGTATAGTTTCAGCTAAGTAAGCTAGTCGCTTAGCTAGGATCCTTTTACTAACTTTTCCTAGGCAATTTAGGAGTGAAATAGGTTAATAGGCGCTAGGCTGCTTATAGTCTAGTTTATTATTTTTATGTAGTATAGCGCAATTCGCTTAGCGCTAGCACTTTAGATAATAGCTAGTGTTTACTAGCGTCTTAAAAAGGAGTGAAATCTAGGAAGGGCATGCTAAATATGCATAGGTAATAATAGTCTAAGTAATATAGTCCGGGCTGGGGCTAGTAGATTTGATTTCACTAGAACAGGCTTATTTCACTTTATCTAGTGCTGGCTTTAGCTATTGCTACTAGTCTAAGGCGGTGTATAACGTCTAATTCGGGCTAGCTGTTTTAGGAGGTGGAGAGAAAAGCGTCTAGCGGAAAAGGTTGCATTTAATAGTAAATATAGTTATTGTGAAATGGTGGGAGGTGGGCTCGGTAGGTGATAAGAGAAGTCACGTGAAGACTAGTGATATATGCAATAATAACTAAATTTAAAAGCTTGACTTATAAGGCCTTCTAGAGAGAGAGAAAGGCTGTTTATATACATGAATATGCTATTCTAGCAGCTTCTATGCTTATAAATCACATGGCTAGCTAGAGTGGCGAAGGCGGTGACATGCGTCATAATCGTACAGTAGACTACGTCAGCCGGAAACGTCGGAAGCTTGAATTATAAATCAATACAGCTAGCTAGTATGAACTAGGACTAGCTTCATACTAAGCCTAATTAGGTTTAAACCATATTTAGTGCTTATTATTATATAATCAACAAATTATAAATCAACACAGCTAGCTAGTATGAACTAGGACTAGCTTCATACTAAGCCTAATTAGGTTTGAACCATATTTAGTACTAATTATTATATAATCAACACGCCCCCTTAATAAGTACCTAAATAGCTAGGTTTTTAGCTAAAAACAGCTAAGATAACTTAGTAGCTTAAGGGTAGCGTTTTACAAAATTAAATAAATACAGGACCAAAATATACTAGTTTAGCGCCAAAATAAAATACCCTGTTTCTAATCTGTGTTTTATATTATATGTATAGATATGACTGCGCTAGCATAAATGGGAGCTATTTTATAGCTTTAAAGTGATTCTGCCATTTATAGCTACGAGTGAATTTGTTTTTAATAAAATTGCTGTTTAGGCCCCTGCAAATAGATTTTAATTATAAGACTATAATTATAATCCTGATTGCGTCATCTATCTTTTATATTAGATAGAATTAGATTTCACCGCGACTTTATAATTCTATAGCCTATTTTTCACCTTAAGCTGCTAAGGCTTAGTTTAAAGCTTTAAATCCTTAGCTATAACTTAGCTATAGCTAGGCGGTGAGCAAAGCAGTTAAGTGAATTTGGCTATTTTATTTTTATATCATATTTAGCTGCTTTATAAAGCTAGCAAATTTATTTATAGGCAGGGGCTTAGTAAGCCCGTCAGCTTTTTGATTACTAGTAGGGATCCATATTAGGTCTAGTAGGCCTTTATTTATATGGTCCCTTATCATATGATATTTAGTGTCAATATGCTTACTCCTTTCGTGAAATATAGGGTTATTAGCTAATTGGAGGGCACCGTTATTATTGGTATATAGTGGCAATTTATCTTGCTTTAATAGGCCTAGCTCTTTAAGAAGGATCCTAATAAATGCGATTTCTTTAGCAGCGGCATTTATAGCTATATATTCGCTTTCTGTGGTACTTTGCGCTATAATTGATTGTAGCTTAGACTTCCACATAATAGGCCCTCCAGCTATAAATAGTATATAGCCTGTAGTACTTTTAGCTTGTACTAGATCACCGGCATAGTCTGAATCGCAATAGCCTTGGATATAGCTAGTAGCGTTATTAGAGTATACTATGCCTAGATCTATAGTCCCTTTCAAATATCTAAATATACGCTTAATTGCATTTAGATGTATTTCACTAGGATTAGAAGCAAATCTAGCTAGTTTAATTATAGCAAAAGTTATATCTGGTCTGCATGCTAGCGCTAGATATAATAGTGACTCTACTAGCTGCTGGAAGTGTCTAATGGCTTTAGGACTAGCTTGTTCCTTATTAGGCTCTAGTTTAGTATTAGAGTCCATAGGTGTTTTAGAGGGATTTAAGCTATTAAAGCTAAATTTGTTTAGAATCTTATTTATATATTTAGCCATATATAGCTTTAGTATACCCTCGCTAGGCTTATAGTCTATATCTATGCCTAGGTAGTCTTTAATTAAGCCTAGTTCTTTTATATCAAAGTAGGTTTTTATCTCTTTTATAAATTCTTATATAACTTCCGCATTTGGGCCAATTATAGCTAAATCGTCTACATATACAGTTATTATAATATTTGTAGTACGATTTATAAATATGCTATTTTCACTTAATAGGAATTCGAATCCTAGTTTAGTGATTAATACATCTTTTAGCGTATTATACCATATTCTAGCTGATTGCTTTAGTTCATATAGGGCTTTATTTAGTTTTATGACGTAATCTGGGAATTTAGCGCTAATATGGCCTTGTGGCTGCTTTAGGTATATAAAATTATCGATTTCGCCTTGTGTAAAAGCTGAAATCATATCTATTTTATAAATAAGCCAGTTATTTAAAATAGCTAGCGCAAATATAAGCCGCCACGCTAGCTGTTTAATAACAGCTGCAAAAGTGTCTATATAGTCTATGCCATATAATTGTTCAAATCCTTTAGCTACAAATCTAGCTTTAAATTCGTAATAGTCGCTAAAGTCTTTTAGCTTATAAGTCCATCGACTATTTATAATTTTAGCGTTTTTAGGCTTAGGCACTAATTCCTAGGCGTTATTTGTGTCTAGGGTCTTTAGCTCTTTAGCTTCGGCTTTATACCAAAAATTATTATATTTGGAGTTTTTAGCTTTGTTATATGATTTAGGTTCATATATGTTATTTATAATATCTTTATTTTTATAGATAATAACCTTATTATCGCTAGTATAACTTTCACTGGTTTCTTCATTTTTAGAAGCTATATAAGCATAGGATGCTAGGCTTAAATTCACTTTTCTTTTATTGTTTTCATCTGGATCTTTATAATAGTCTAGACTTAATTCATTATATTGATCTAGATTATCAGATATAGTAGTATCTTTATTTTCGTCTATATTACTACTAGCGCCATTATTATTAGAGGTATTAGGTAAATCGCTAGCGCTAGAGCTAGTGCTTCCTAAATCGGTATTATCCTCTATATAGCTAATTTCTAGTAGCGTCTGATAATCATTATTGTCTGATCTATTATATTTATCGGTATATAGTAAATCTTCCTTAATTATAACGTTTTTAGTGCTTATAACCTTTTCCTCGTTAGATATATAAACTAGGAAGTTATTAGCCGATTTAAATCCTATTAATATGCCTTTATTACCCTTTTCGGATAATTTGCCATGCTTTCTAGTCTCTTTTGGGACTAGTATATAAGCTAGTGACCCTATAATCTTAATATAGCCTATTTGCGGCTTTTTGCCTATTAGGGCCTTATAAGGGGTTTTATTTATAATAGAGTTATAAGTCCGATTTTTAATATATGCTATAGACTGAACTAGATAAGGCCATAGAGCTAAAGGTATATTCTTAGCTTTACAAATAGTTATAAGCCTTTCTATTATATATTTATTTAATATCTCAGCTATACTATTCTGGGAAGCTGAATAAGGGCTAGTATATTCGCATATAATGCCATTGGAGTTGCAAAATAGGCTCTACTTATTAGATTTAAATTCTTTAGCATTATCTAGTTTTAAAGCCTTAATTTTAGCTTCAGGAAACTGTGTTTTTATCATATTAAAGAATTTAACTAGTATGCTATATGCGTCCCCTTTATGCTTTATAGGATATATCCATATAGCTCGGCTACCTCTATCGGTTATAGTCATAAAGTACTTTTCCCCTTTTAGGCCTAGCGGCTTAATTGGACCAGCGATATCTATATCGTATACGCTTAATATAAGCGCGCTAGACATAGGCTTTTTACTACTTATATTATAGAATTTGCCTATAATATAAGGTTCGCAGTTACTTATAGTATCGCTTTTAGTCTCACCGCCTTCAAGGCTTAATCCGGACGTATTATTTATAGTTTTAAGTAATAAGTCCTTATTTAAGTGATTTAGCCTATTATGATATAGGTCTAATTTATTATTCGCAGATTTAGTATAATATACTATAGGCTCTAATACATTAAAATCCACTAGTATATTTAGATAATAAGCATTATTATGCCAAGAAGCGGTCACTCTTATGCTTTTATTATCTAGTTCGACTATATCCTTTTTAAAAGTTATATTCCAATTTTTATTAATTAGCTCTTTAGTGCTAATTAGATTAGCTTTTAGGTTAGGCGCGTAAAATACGTTTTTAATAATAATTTCATTATTATTAGCCTTAACCGGAATATCGCCTTTTCCTAAAACAGCTAGACTATAGCTATTTGCTATTCTAATGCTTTTATTAGAAACAGACTTATAGTTTAATAGCCAGTCTTTATTAAATGTATAATGCTCACTAGCGCCAGAATCTAATACTAATTTAGTTTTATTAATATTAGCTTCTTTGTTATTTATTCCATTATAGACTAGTGACATCATAACTGTTTTAGTGGATTCAGTCTTTTCAGAAGCTTTATTATTATTTTTATTTTGTTTTAGCTCTGGATATTTAATCCAGCATTTAGCTTCTATATGCCCCTTTTTATTGCAATGTTTACAAATAGGCATTTTATTGCTAGTGGCTTTATTAGCCGAAGAATCTGACCCTAATCTAGCTTCTTCGCTTATAATGTCTGAAATAAGCTTAGTAATATCGATATTTTTTATATTACTAGTCACTTCTTTGTATTTTCGGGAGCTAAAGGCATTAAAAGAGCTAGATAGGCCTTTAAATAGCAAGATAGCTATAAACGGCTTAGGCAATTCGTAGCCTAGCTCTTTTAGGTATATAGCCGAGGATTGGATATAGCTAGTATACTCGTCTGCGCTTTTAAAAGACTTATAGCTAGCGTCTATTAGCTTGTTAAAGTAACGCGCTATAGTCTCTAAATTAGTCTCCCTGAAAGTAGCTTTTATTGCAGCCCAAAGTAGGTCAGCAGTAGGCTGATCCTTAAATCTGTCTATATTATCAGCGCTTATAGTAGACTTTATAGCGCCTAAGGCTTGCTTAGTATTTCGGCTATATTCGGTTTCTTTATCTAGATATTTTATAGCTAATTTAGGGCTTCTAGGTCCAGATTCAGTATAGTATAGCGATCTTATAGAGAGTGGATTACGCTCTAAACCGTCTATATAAGGCATAAAGCCATGGATTTCCAAAAACAGACTAGCCTCTTTTAGCTATTCTATATAATTAGATCTACTGACTAGCACTTCCCCTTTATAAGAGGTGATTGCGGCCATTTTCAAGTGAATTTACTGCAGTGAATAGTGCTAAAATGCTATAGCTACTTTTTAAGCTCTAATTTCAGCTATCTAAGTCTTTAGCTTTTTTAGCTTATTTTAGCTACTATTTCTAACCGTAAATGATTTAGACTTATGCACTAGTCTTATTATTATGCTAGTGTCTTATTTAGCCTTATTTTATTAAAATCCGATAATCTTTCGGTTTACAAAAGCTATTTTCTTTTTGAATCTTGCTAAAAGTAGCTATTTAAGGGTAGCTATAAGCTAAACTAGCTTTATATACTATTTTATGGTTTATAGTACTGCTATTTGGCTTATATATAACTTTCGACGGATTTGGACTAGTCCTTCGTCTAGTATAGCTATTTCTTCCTTAGCCGATTCTTAAGTTGCAATTAGGTATTTGCGGCTTTCTTAGCCTTCCTTATGCAATTCACTTGTTTTTAGCCTTTTTAGGCTTAAAGTAGGTTCCTTTCCCTTATTTAGCCTATTTAGGCTATAATTTGCGTAGTAATACTACTTACTAGATTGTTCCTTAGTACTAAGTATAGCTACGGCTAAGGTTTATTATAGCCGCACCTATATATAGCAAAAAGTACTAAAAACTAGCTTCTCTTATAATGCTAGGTAGTAAATAAGCGTAATTCACCCTCTCCGAGGATGGCTTCTTAGAACCTGCTTATTTACTCCTAGCGTTATAATTTGAACCAATAGAGAGTAAGCAGCCACTCCTTTTAACCTGACCTATAAAAGTGCCTTCCAGGGCTACTAGTATAGCGATAAAGTGTGGGCACCTTGGTATGAGATATTGCTATAACACCTATATTATAGGTGACGGACACGTCAAGTTATAGCTTCTAGAGGCACTAGCTTATGCTTTTACTAGCGCTTAGTCTTAGGGACGCAGGCCTCAGGCTTCCTTTTCTATTAGTGAAAATGCAGGGTTGGGGATACCTTTTTCAGTTGGATACGTAGCTAGTATTAGCTACTAACACTTAACGATTTTGAATCGGAAGCTTATAAGGTTATATAAGCATATAAGCCTTATCGCATTGCTACTATGTGAAATGGTGGGAGGTGGGCTCGGTAGGTGATAAGAGAAGTCACGTGAAGACTAGTGATATATGCAATAATAACTAAATTTAAAAGCTTGACTTATAAGGCCTTCTAGAGAGTGAGAAAGGCTGTTTATATACATGAATATGCTATTCTAGCAGCTTCTATGCTTATAAATCACATGGCTAGCTAGAGTGGCGAAGGCGGTGACATGCGTCATAATCGTACGGTAGACTACGTCAGCCGGAAACGTCGGAAGCTTAAATTATAAATCAATACAGCTAGCTAGTATAAACTAGGACTAGCTTCATACTAAGCCTAATTAGGTTTAAACCATATTTAGTGCTTATTATTATATAATCAACAAATTATAAATCAATACAGCTAGCTAGTATAAACTAGGACTAGCTTCATACTAAGCCTAATTAGGTTTGAACCATATTTAGTACTAATTATTATATAATCAACAGTTATAAATTAGGTGGCAGAAAGCTTTAGATTTAGGACTAGCTCTAACCGCCTTAACTTTATATAGGCTAGGGCTTTAATTAATTTAGAATCCTCTTTTTCTAAAAACTAGTTCTAGTAATCCTTTTTAGCCATCTTAATAGCCTAAAAGTATATATTGCAGGCGCTAGTATAACGCTTATTTAATTAGCTGGAAAATGCTTGCTTAGAGGCCTCTCTAGCCTAATTTATATCTATTTATTTATTTATTTATTTATTTCATTAACGTTCTGTGTGAGTCTAAGACTATGTAGGACGGCGCTAGCCTAATGCTAGCGCGGGCTAGTGATACATTCAAGAGATATATCAATATGTTTCCGGTTGGAATCTGTGGGACTAAGCCTAATGCGGACTAGGTCCATAAAGCAAAAACGCTATACTAAAGTCCCCTAAAGCCCTAAAAATCGCGTAACTAACAAAATAAAAAGTGGTTAAAAAGTGAATCAAAAAGTGGCAGAAAGCGGAGGCGGTTAGCTAGCATAGCCGTTTCTTATGCTGCAATCGCGCTCTTATGCATTCTAAGCTAAAATTGGGAAAAATCGATGGATTCGGCCAGTGGAGGTAGGCGGTGAGACTTCTAAGTAGTGTATTGCTTAGTCATTATCGAATTCTGCCTGTTTAAGCCGCTATTTGCAGGTACTAATACCCGTTTCACCCAAGAAGGTCAGTAGATGCTAGCGTCCGATTTTCGTCTTAAAGAGGGAGCGTAGGCTAAGCCTAAATAGGACACTATCTTTTAGTCTTTTGCGTTCTTTACTATATTCGGGGCATTATAGTATAAGATGCTATAGTGATTTAGGCTTGTGACTGTATATGTAGTGATTAGTGGGTGTTTTATTGAATCGTTTTAGGTACGTCCT